AAGAGCAGGGGAGAGATCAGAAAGGAATGAAGCCGAGTTTGCATACACACCAACTCCACACAAGGAATGTAAACATGTACTGTAAACACGTCCTCATAAAAATTAAAAATAAAATAAGACTCCAAGATCCACCCAAAGAAAATGTGACCCAGGTCTGGCTAAGCCAGGAGGCGTCTCTCTCCTCACCTTGTACCCCAGCCCCCCAACTCTGGAGCCGGTGACCCCACCCCCACACAGCCTGGCCGGCAAAGGCAGGCTGGCAGGATTCAAGGGCTTTGGCTTGGCTGTGAGTCGCTGCCTCTGGAGGAGGGAGTGGGGGTCTAGCTCAGCCCACCTGAGGAGGGACAGGAGTGGTCAACACAGCTGCCCTGCCTTCCCCTGCCCTGGTCTTCTCTGAGCAGGATCCTGTCAGCAGCACTGTGATGGTGCAGGAGTGCAGAGGATTCCTATCCTAGGCATAAAGGAAGACAACTCCTGGCCCCTCTTGCCGTCCACCCAGGGCCTTCTGTTCTTCTGGTTTAGTCTCAGGCTGAGATGCTGATGTGAGAAGCTGCCGCTGCTGGTGTGTGGAAAACTCTTCCCTGCCTTTGCAACTTCTGGTTCCAGTACTTGCCCCTCTCTTTCCTCCAGATGCAGAGCCCAGGGTCCCACTACCAGGGCCAGGGATTCATATTCTTATTCACTGTGAAATGGCATTATCTGTAGGGAGGGAAGAAGGGAAGGGAACACAAAAGGAATGAAGATGTGCTATGTACATATACAAACTTCCAATAATGACTGCAATCTGTATGTATGGCAAACATGTAATTTTTAAAAAATAAAAGGAAGCTGGGCTTGATGGCTCACGCCTATAATCCCAGCACTCGGGAGGCTGAGGCAGGAGGATCGTTGTGAGTTTGAGACCAGCCTGGGCTACAAAGTGAGCTCAAGGCCAGCCTGAACTGGATAGAGAGACCCTGTCTCAAAAAGACAAAAAAGTAAAAGGAGCAACAGTGTGCAATAGCAACATAATGCAAGCCATAAATGAATCGACCACATACACAATTTAATATTTTCTAATAGTCACATCTTGCAAAAAATATAAAAATGAAACTGAATTGGTCTCAACCATATATTTTGTTCCACCTGATACACCTATTAATCAAACGGGTATTATCATTTCAACCCTTAATACATGTACAAGATGACTGAGATGTCTGTCATTATTTTTTCATAGTGTGTTAGCTTCCTAGAGCTGCTGTAACACATCACCACTAACTGGGGGGTGGGGGGTTAGAGCAACAGAAACTTACCCTCTCACTGTCCTGGAGGATGAGGTCAGAAATTAAGGCGTGGGCCTGGCCTTGCCCTCTCGGGAGAATCAGCCTGGGTTCTGGCGGCTGCGGGCAGTCCAGGGGCCCCGTGGCTCGTGCCCCATCACACAGGCTCTGCTGTCACCAGCCGGCCCCTTCCTGCTGTGGGTGTCTGTGTCTTCACTAGGGCATCCCACCAGGATATCAGCCACTGGGTTCATACCCACCCCGATCTAGTAAAATCTCCCCTCCACTAATTATACCGGCAAAGATCCTATTTCCAAATAAGTTCATTCTCCAGTTCCAGGGGGATGCAACTCAGCCAGGTACAATGTCAAGTTCAGCTTTACCTAGTCGGTAAAGGCAGTGACCTCTCACTCGTCTGAGTTTTGGCTACTAACTTTTTTTTGCTGTCACTTTTTTCACCTAGTGTCTTTGTCCCTTTATTTTCATTTTGTGGCCTTCAGAGTAAGACCAGAGGAAAAAGAAACAAGTGAGATGAATCTTAATAACATATGTTATTTAACCCAAAATATTATTTTTCCAACATGTAATCCATATAGAAAATTATCAGTGAGACATTTTTATATTCCTTTTATAGTCCCATATGTTCCCATGGGTCTTTTCTTTTCTTTTTCACTACTAGAGACTGAACCTGGGGCCTTTTGCACTGAGATAAATCCTCAACCCTTTTCTTTTCTTTTTTTTTTTTTTAATTTTGAAACAGAGTTTTACAAAGTCACTAAATTACCCAGGCTGGGCTTGAACTTTACAACTTTGGATCCTCCTGCCTTTCAGAGTGTACCACCATGCCCGGTTCTAAATCCTTATGTCTTTAACCCCTACAGCGCACCCCATTCAGACTGCCCACATTTAAAGTGTTGAACAGCAAAAATGGCCAGTGGCCACCTTACTGGGCAGCACAGCTCATGAAGTTAGAAGAAAAGTGGGCCAGGGATGTAGCTCAGCGGCACAGCGCCTGCCTGGCAAGTGTAAGGTGCTGAGTTCGATTCCTGATACCTTTCACAAAAAAAAGAAATGGGGTGAGCTTTCTGGGGATGCTGGGAATGGCCCTAGAAGTCCAGCAGGCCCCAGGGGGTGGCATTTACCAAGTGCTTCACCACGTACAGCCCCTCCTGAATACCTGTCATCTGGGTGAGGTGGTCACCTCTGGGGTGGACAGAAGGAATCTGACAGCGCTGCTGTACCCAGCCAGAAGGAAGCTTCGTTCGTTTCCAAGAAAGTTGGCAAGCACTTGGCTGCCCCCTCATCTGTACTGCCTTCGAGGCACAGTTCTCGGGGCGCAGTCCTAGGGACCTGGATTCAGAGGAAGGGACTGTCCTCACTGAGATCAACCAGCGATGCTGGACGACCGTGTGAGCACTGTGTCCCCAACAGAGACGGGGCCATCACAGGGGTGCGGGGGGAGCCAGCCTCCTTGTGCCCACGGTGTGAGATGGGTGTGGCCCCTGCCTGGGGGTCAGCCCTTTCCTACTCCTCCCTTGCAGCCTGTCCCCTGGGGTCCCTTGTCTCTTTTGGGGATGACTTTGGCTCTGTCCGCTTTGATTCCTGTGTGAATTTCATGATCAAATTCTCAAGGAGCAGCTTCATCCCTCCAGGGAACAGCCTCCCATGCGCTGCTCCCTTGACCTGCCTGCAGTTCCTCCTCCTCCTCCGGGCCCTGCTCCACAGCCTCTGCGCTTTCCTAAGAAAACCAAAACTAACCAGAACCCAGCCTAGGGGCCAGGCCCCAGACATGTGTGTCCACCTCTGGGGTTCTGGGATGTGTGTGTGGTGGAGTCACAGCCCTGACTCAGGATATGCTTGGTGGGATTGGGGCAGCAGTGTCCCCCACTGGGCCTCAGGCCCCGGTGACAGTGTCCCTGAGCCGGGGCAGGGTGACAGAAGCAGAGTGAAGAAGTGAGCACAGGGAGGAGGACCCTGGTGTTAATGCAGAGCTCTGCAGTCCCTTAAAATAACAGTGCCCTCTCTCTCTCCCTCTCTCTCCCTCTCTCCTTCCCTCTCTCATTCTGGCTTTTTTTCTGCAATGCACAGACCTCACAGAAAGTGACTCAGCCTTACATAAGAGACAGGAATCTGAGGGGGACCAGGAGCATGATGACTCATTGCCTTGAAATTTCCAGTGGGTTACACGCTTTTTTAAATGATTGCTTAAAGATGTATCTTCAATGGCTGTCAAAAAGCGGACTTGGGAGGCAGATTGGGGCGAAGACACTGTCAGAGCAGGCAAGACTATCTGTGGGGACAGTGAGGAGGCTAAGGACAGGGCCATCAGGTCAACCTCAAAACATCCTGGTGAGCGTCCAGGGAAAAAGACTGGAATTGTCACCATACCCAGAGCCAGGCAAACTTTGTCCCCGGCTATTGTCATTCTGGCCAATTCATCTCCCCTAAAAATAATTTACTTTTAAAATTGTCTGCATCCCCATGTCCCTGTACCTCTGCAGAAAATATTCAAGCTTCAACTACCTGGCCCTTCTTTGAGTGTTATAGTTTGTGCAACTCCATATGCTTGCACAGTAATGAATCCGTATGTCTTTCTCCTGTTAATCCATCTATTGTCGACTTGCATCAGCAAACTCAATTCTCTAATTTTCAAGCCAGGCATAGTGGCACACACCTGTGATCTCAGCTCTCTGGGAGGCTGAGGCTCACAAATTTAGGAGGATCACAAATTTAAGCACAGCCTCAGCAAACCACTGACTTAGTGAGACCCTAACTCAAAAATAAAAAATACCGTAAAAGGGCTGGGGATATAGTTTAGCACAAAGGCCTGGAGTCCAATGCCCAATACTGCAACACAAAGTAAAATAAATTCCTAAGCTTCCGAGGATGGAGGGGAAGTTCCCTTCGCCCCTACACCTCGTCAATCCACCCCTGTAGCTGGGTCACATATTTGTGTCAGCAATTTCCAAAGGATTATAAACCAGACCATCTTTGATAATTTTATCTTCTCACTTTATTTGGGCTGTTTTCCTCAAGTCTAGTCCACAAATCTCAAGTTTCATGAGATGTGAAGTCGCGTTATATTTTTTAAAAATTTAATCAGTTTTGGAAAATATTGGATTTTAAAGATGAGTATTTTTTTAGTGCCTGATTCTAGGACGTTCCTAGAGGATGCCGTGTGGTGTGCCAGGGCGCAGACTTCTGGAAATCCTACCTTGGTGCGCTCACTTTACCTGGGGAGGACTCTGAAGCCTCTGCTCCCACGGGGCCCCAGCCTCCATACGCAGGACTTCATGTGCCCTCGTGGATGGCTACTGTATTGGACGCCTAAGAACCACGCATACGAAGGAGTAGCTCTAACTTTCACCCGCCTTGCTCTCCGCAGAGGCCTGCTTCCATCCCAGCTCAGGGACCAGACTCCTAATTTTGGAACTCTTTCCCTTTGTCACATGCGCCTCATCTGAAGAGTGTGTTCCCTGGCAGGTTTATACACATTATTCTCTGTCTCCTCGAGCATCCTGAACTCAAGAAAAAAAAAAATCATCTTGGCAGTAAACTGTGTGATATGTGAAACCCTGATGTGATCCTTCTTGGTTTTAGCCATGTCCAGCAACTGAGATCTGGGAAATGAAGACAGGATTGGTTTGTTGGATGGAGAATAAATGCTGTGAACAGTCAACAACAATAAATGCGTGATTGGATAAATAAAGGGATGCGGCCGCATTTAATAGGTGAGAAAGAGGCCGTGGTGCAGAAGGGGGAGTGTGCTGCTTCCCAAGGTGGCGGCGGAGTGTCCCGAGAGAGCCTCTGCCGGGAAATGGGCAGCCCGCGCAGGTGGCCCGGCTGGGCTGAAAGGAGCGGGGTGTGGCAAGGCCTCCGGACTTGCAGCTGACAGGAGAGAGGCGGGAATGCGGGAGGTGGGCTGCCAACTGGGGTGCTGGTGTCAGCTGCTTAGTTGCTGTTCCTCTGAAGGAGTGGCGGGGAAGACCCCTCCGACACCAGGTCCCAGCGTGGTGGAACACGCTGCTTTAAGTCAGGTGCGATCTCGTCGCATGAGCTCGTCCCCCGCTCTACCCTCAGGCCTTCAGCAGTGACCAGGGCAAGGTTTCCCTGCAGAGAGCTGAATCAGGTGTGGCTCCCGCCCTACCCTCCAGTCCCAAAGGGCTTTGGGCCTGTCACCTGCAGAAAACGGCTCTCCCAAAACGGGTATCCAGAGCTGAGGCAGATGAAGGGACTGTTTACGGAGGTGTGGGCAAGCTGAGAGGTGCAAGGGGGTCTGTAGGCCCCCAGCGGGAAACGCCAAGCACCTCCACCGAGGCAGGGGGGAGAGCGCAGGCTGTGGAGCCTGAACTGTGTTCCCCCAAATGCGCTCCCGTTAATCCCCAGCATGTCCCAGGGTGTGTGTACTTGGGGAGGAAGCCCTATGACGGGGATCTGGTTAAACAAGCGGGGGCCTACCTCAGTCTGACTGGTGTCCTCGTAAGAGGGAATCTGGTGCTGGGGTGGTGGCACGCACCTGTAATCCCAGCACTCAAGAGGTTGAGGCAGGAGTTCAAGGCCAGCCTGAACTACAGAGCAAGACCCTGTCTAAATAAATAGAAGAGGAAATCTGGATAAGTCTGGACATACAGAGACTCCAGGGTCACATGCACACATGCACACACACACACACACACACACACACACAGAGGTAGGCAGAGGGCAGCCACCTGCAAGCCAAGGACAGGGGCCACAGAAGAAACCAAGCCTCTGAGACTTTAATCCTGGGCTTCCAGCCTCTGGAACCTTGAGAAAAAGACGTCTATGGCTCCAGGGCCCTGTTCCGGCAGTGCAGGCATAAAGGAGGCCCCAGCCGGGTCTGCTTCCTCCTCACAGTCTCAGGCTGGCGCCCCCCCTTGGCCACACCCCACCAAAGCCATAGAGCGCGGAAGTAAGTGGGTATGGTGGGGAGGGGTCGCCTCCAAAGTCCAGAGCGCTGGGGAAGGCACACAGTGGACCAGGAGGGGCAGATGGAGGGTGTCGGCAACATAATGCCTCACAGGAGAGACCACAGACGCCTCTGACCCCAGGGTTACAACGAGGACGCAGGGTGGTACGGTAGGAGCAGGGTGCCACGCCAACCAAGCTCGGAATAAAACAGGAAAAATGGCAACGGTTGGTAGGATTGTGGCTGGGGATTTTTCCCAAAAAACTTTTCTTTTAAAATATGGTTATAATTCCCGGTACCAAAAAAAAAATACATATAGTTATAATGTTTTTAGACTGAAAAGAGATAATCCAGAGGTAGACTTTTTTTTTTTTTCGGTGGTGGTATTAGAGATTGAACCTGGAGCTACATCCCTAGCCATCGTTGTCGTCTCCTTCCTCCTCCTCCTCCTCCTCCTCCTCCTCCTCTTCTTCTTCTTCTTCTTCTTCTCCTCTTCCTCCTCCTCCTCCTTCTTCTTCTTCCTCTTCTTCATTTTGAGACAGAGTCTCACTAAGTCACTAAGTTGCCCAGGCTGAACTGGAACTTGTGATTCTCCTGCCTCAGCCTGCAGGAGTGCTAGCATTACAGGCAGGCACCACCTGGCTCAGAGGCAGACTTCTCTGCAGCTTACTCTAGCTTGGGCATGGCTGTCAGGTCAGAAGGACAGTGAGAAGATGAGTGGCTCCCTGGAAATGTCTTAAGTGTAGCGAAAGAGCGGTGCCCAGGCCTCCCGTACACATCAGCCCGGGTTTCCTCGTGGTGAAGGGTGGACCAAGAGTCCTTGGGTGTGACGGGCCTGGACTCCATCTCAGTGTGGGGGCAGTGCTCAGGGCACAGTCTGAGAAGGAACAGAGGCCGAGGTGAGACCAGCAAGGCCCAGGGCTGCCTGCCCGACCCTCCTCTGCAGGTCTCTCCAGCTAACTCCTCCCTGCCCACCCTCACCTTGGGCTTCCAGACTAGGAGGGCTTCCATCTCAGGCAGGGCGAGATGAAGAGACGCTCGTCCCCTTGTGCACAGCTGTGGTGGGGACAGCGCTCACTTGCTCCCCAAGCCTCCTGAACCCCTGGGAACCATCAAGGGGAAACCTTGACACAGGACCGCTGACCTCACTCATCAGATGGAGCCTGGTGGTCAGAACGGACGACACACAGACATGTGGGGAAGGTGTGGGGACCTCAGCGCAGCTCAGCACAGAGGCTGAGAGACACCCTGGGAGACAGCCCAGCCCTGGCCCTGGACAACGTGAGCTCAAGATAATCCGCCCCAAGAATTGGGCACCTGCCGCGTACGTGGCAGATCTGTGTGTTCTCCCAGTACCAGGCTTCTATGTTCCTGCCACCCCATGGGTGGTGTGATGGTCTCCATGCTGTGAATGAGGGCAGTGGGACACAGAGGGTCAGGTAAGCAGTCCCTGCTGTCACAAATGACCATGGTGCTCGACCCCAGCGGACCCCAGAGGGTGCTCTCTGGATCTCTGGTCTTTTTTCCCCCTAGTTATTTTTCCTCTACCCACAAGGAAGTGAAGTCAATGCCCATGAACAAGAAGCCCTCATGAGCCAGGCGTGGTGATGCACACCTGTAATCCCAGCACACAAGAGGCTGAGGCAGGAGGATTTCTGTGAGTTCAAAGCCAACCTGAAATCCATAGGGAGACCTTCAAAAAAAAAAAAAGAAAAAGCCCTCATGAGGACAACAGGACTGGTCATGTGATCTCTCAAAGAGCCCCTGCCTCCACATGGCCACCCTCAGATTGATGAGATTGTCCCCACAGAGAGCAGATCTTCCTGTTTACCTCACTGGGCGAGGCTAGGATTGACTGGCAGTCTCTGCCTGGGTGTCGCAGAGCTCCTAGGAGGAATTATCGTGGGTAGCAGTAGAGACCGTCCATTTCTCACAGTATTTTTTTTTTTGTACTAGGGATCAAACCCAGAACCTCCACCCTGAGCTACATCTCCAGTCATTTAAAAAAGAACTTTTTTTGAGACAGGCCCTCACTAAGTCCCTAATTTCCTCAGGGTGGGCTCAAACTTGTGATTCTCCTGCCTCAGCGTCCCAGAGTGCTAGGGTTACAGGCATGCACCACCACACTGGGTTCACTTGTTTAGGACACATTGGTCAAACGCAGGACACAGCTGGGCATCCTCTGGGACAGAAGGGAACTTCTCCCTGGCCGTTTTGGCCCCCTTCCTGGCACCTCAGACCTAAAAAGGGACAGCGTGTCAATGCCCCAACTGTCTGGCTTGGAGGGGACAGCAGGCTTTTAATCTTCTGCTTCTGTAGCCCAGAAAGTGCCCCCTCTTCATCAGTTCCACATTATGCAGCTCTTGCCCCAGGGAAAACCCGAGGGAGGAAGTCACAGAGGAGACAGTGCTTCCTTTGTCCCTTGATAGAAAGCAGCAGATCACCAAGCGGCAGCCGTGGGGATTTCGGTCCTCATACATTCGGGGAGCCAAAGACATTCCAAGGCAAAACCACACAGCAGATGCCCCGGAACTCCTCAGAGCTGCCCTGCACGAGCTGGCACGTACAGTACCTCCTGACTCCGGCAGTGGCATACGCGGACGGGAGGCATCCCTAAAACAAGCGGCGGGGCGTTCATCCAACAGGCGCTGCCCACGATCCTTTTATGTGTGCCCAAGACAAAAACTAATTCCATGAGCAGCCCACCAGCAGGACGGTCTGTGTCTGGAGGGCGAAGCGGTTGTTATTTGAACCCCCTCGGCTTGCCCTCTGAGGAGCCTTTTGCACCCTGAGGGGGAAACTCTTGCAATACGGAAAGTTAAGAGAACACCTTGCATGCCATGCGAGCGAGCTATGGGATCCTCTCAAGCGGGAGGCGGAATATGCTTTTCCTACCTGTTTTTTAGCGAAGCAAGAAACAATAAGGATACATGTAACTGCCATTAATAAAAAACGGATTCAAAGTGCCCTAAGCAATAAGAAAGACTATCTCACATAATGAGAAACCGTAAGACAGGCAGCTCCATCCTGAGGACCCGGGAGCTTCCCGCCTGCCTGTCCTTCTGTCCCTGCTGTCATCGGCTTCAGGCCTGTTGCTGCCTGCAGGGCCCCACGCCCAGCATCCAGAGGTAAGAGAGGCCATCTGCTCTCGAGATGAGATGCCCTCACTTCCCGCGCCCGGCGGGGGTGGTGTCACCATTCCCGAAGGCCCCTGCGCTGCAGGTTTGGTCTCCAGGATGGATGTGCTGAAGCGGAGACCTCGAGAGGGGCCCTGTCAGAAGGTGGTTAAGCCATTCGGGTGCCGCCCTCAGAAGGGGTTAATGTAGTTCTCAGGAGACCCCAGTCAGTTTCTGAAAAGGGGGCTTGCTGTAAAAAAACAGAACAAAAACAGCGTTCCTGCCTCACCTAGGGACCTCGTCCATGTGACTCCCTCCATGGACACGCCGTCGGCCATGAGGCCATCACCAAACGCCAAGCGCAGGGAGCTGCCCAACCTTGGACGTTCAGCCTCCAAATTGGGAGCCAAATAACCCTCTTAATAAAACAAAGTACCTAAATGGGGTGTGGTGGTGCACGCCTGTAATCCCAGCACTCTGGGAGGCTAAGGCAGGAGGATTGCAAGTTCAAACCTAGCCTGGGCAATTTAGTGGTTTGACGAGACCTTGTCTCAAAATAAAAAATGCAAATGGCTGAAGATGTAACTCAGTGCAAAGGCCCTGGGTTCAATTCTTATTACTACCAAAATAAATAGTGTCTAGCCTGATATCTTGTAATAGCAACAGAAAACATTTAGACACATCCCTTATAGAGCTCCTCTTACATCTCATTTGCTAAAATGGGGCCATATGTCCTTGCCTAAGCCAACCCCAGATAAGAGGATTGGGCCCCCTCTGGTTTGAACCAATCAGAATCTAATTTCAAAGACTAGGGACCACCCCAGGTGGGCTGAAACCCAGGCTTCAGAAGGCGATGCCTGCATCAAGCCGGGCCTGTTTGACTGAGGCCCCTGGAGTTAACTCCTGAAAGGCACCACCCTAACTTACAGCATTTTCTTTCGGTAGTTCACGAAAGGGCACGGAGCTGCAAGTGGCAGAGCCGGAACTCAAAGCCAGAAAAGGAACATGATCCTAAAGATAGACTGGGCTTGATTACCCCTTGACCCCAGAATGGCCCCTTGATGGAGGGGCCTCTTCCTTGGGGACTGGTGGTTTTGTCACCCTGAAAGTAAAGGCCAGTGGCCTCCCACACTTCACTAGGACCCACGTGTTCCTCTCAGCCAGCCTCCAGCCGGCGCGGCCCTCACATCACGGCTGCAGTTTTCGGCCTCTTCTGTACAGAATGACTCCCGAAAGCGTGCCAGTTTTTTCTCTGTCTGCATTTGACTTGCGGCTATGCTCACACCCTTCCCTTGCAGTGTGCACGCCCTCAGACGGCTTCTGCAGGTCAGCATGCACCTCTCCAATGCCTGGTGTGCCCATTAGGAGGACCCTCCCTCCATTCTCAGAGGAGCCAGCCCCGCCTACCTCACGCGCTGGACGGGGTGGCCCTGGGTGTGTCACAATGGACAGGAGGCAAATGGTCTCTTTCAACAGAGACCCCGAAGACAAGGACTCCGACCTTAAACACAGACCTGCCAAAGGCCACATCTGATTAGCA